TCCGATCCCTCCTATCTTCTCCTGTAACCTCCTCCATTTCTCCTCCCATTTCTCCATTGTCCCCCCTTTCAATGGCCGTCCTCCTTTTGGCTCTCGTCAGCATCTGAAGCAGCATTCGTAATTCGTACTTTAAGTCTGATCTGGGCGTCATCTCGGATGAACTTGACATGATCCGTAGAACACTTCGATAAATATACCAAAATGTGCATCCAATGACCAGGAGATGGTTTCAAAACCTAGTGATCTTGGATGATTATCAAGTGATAATACCGCTTCCTCCCATTCATCTCCTCTTTATCCGTCCATCAAATGATGGTACGCATAATAAAACCAAAGAGCTTGGGCCCACCACTATCCCTTTACTGCACGTATTGTGCACCTTGTGTATTTTTTTGCTTTTTCCACATTTTCTCCCTGTTGTGCCTTACAACGATCAGCCCTCCAATTGTTATCCCTTCACACTACCTTTAGCACCTAATCTTCTCCGCCTGCCCAAAAAGACCAACCACCCGTACTCAGAGCCAACCCACCCTCACCCATCCCCCCTCTTCTCCTCCATCCCTGTTGTCCCCGTACCACCTCCATCTCTTGCCACCTTCTCTCTCACATCATGTCCGCTAGCGAAGACAAGCCTGCTCCCGTAGTTGGACTCTCCCTTGGTTCCCATTACTCTGCCCTCGCGGTCCTAACTCAGGAGGGTAGCGCTGACGTGATCGCCAACGAGGACGGTGACCACTTGACGCCCTCAGTTGTCGCCTTTGGCCAGGACGAGGAATTCTCCGGTACCCAAGCCAAGGCCCAGGAAGGTCGGAATGCCGCCAACACTCTGGTTGAGTTCACTGCCCTTCTTGGTCTCCCCGCCGACTCCCCTACCGTCGACCTCCACCGGTCCAGGCATCCCTTTACCCTGACCTCCGGCACTGAGGGCCGTTTGGTCTACCAGGTGTCGCGCGCCGGGGACGTCAAGGAATCCTTTACGCCTGAACAAGTCACCACCAAGCTCCTGACTCGTCTTCGCGAATCAGCTCAGGCTTACGTGGGTTCCGACCTCGCCGGGGTCTGTCTTACTGTCCCCGCCGATGCCAGCCCCGCCTTTCTGGCTGAGACGACCTCAGCCTGTGCCACCGCTGGCCTTCCCGTCCTCCAGTTCATCTCGGAACCTGCCGCCGCCATCCTCGCCTACCAGGCCGGCAAGTCCCCTGCTGAGCTGCGCAAGACCGATGAGAACGTCCTGGTCTTTGATTTTGGCGGTAGCTCTCTGAAGCTGGCCGTTGTTGCTGTCCGTGGCGGTACTTCCACCATTCTTGGTACCTCCCAGGACCCCGAGCTGGGCGGCACCACCCTGGATGAGCTCCTGATGAAGCACTTTGCTAATGAGTTCAAGCGTAAGCACAATATCGATATCACCGGTAATGTCAAGGCCGAGGGCAAGCTCCGGGCCGAGTGTGAGCGCACCAAGAAGACCTTGAGTTCTTCCAATTCTGCTCCTTGTACTGTCGAGTCCCTCGCCCAAGGCCTGGATCTTTCCAGCACCCTGAACCGGATGCGTTTCGACATTATGTGCAGCAAGGTCTACGGTAAGGTTGCCTCGGACGTCGAAGCTCTCATCCAGAAGGTCGGCCTCCGTAACGACCAGATTTCCGAAGTCATCCTCGCTGGTGGCTCCTCCCGTATTCCCAAACTCCAGTCCCGCCTAGCTTCGCTCTTTTCCGGTGGCTCCACCCGCATTCGGTCTGAGATTACTGCCGATGAGGTCCTTGCCCGCGGTGCCGCTGTCCAGGCTGGTCTCCTGAACGATTACGCCTCCGAGGATGCCGATCTTCTGGCCAGCGCCCTCAAGGACGATGCTCGTCGCGCCTCTCACACTTCCAAGACGGTCGGAGTCGTCGATGCCCAGGGCGCGTTCCATCCCATCCTCTATCATTCCACCCCGATCCCCTCCCGGAGGATCGTCCACACTAAGGCCTCGGCCGACGGGTCTGCCTATGTTGCCCTCTACGAGGGAGAGAAAGATGCTCCTGCCCCCGAGGAGGAGGATGAGAAGGCTGCCAAGCCCGCCCTCGCTGAGCGAAAGCTTATTGCCGAGCTGGCCCTGACCGGACTCAAGGCGGACGAGGAGGTTGAGTTGACCGTCCAGGCCATTGAAGGAGGAGAGCTTCGCGCTGGGCTCCGTGCCCTTGACTCTGCTACCTCGGAAACCTGTGTCATCCCCGTGGCCTAATGTGTCTTACTTGGGTTGCTCCTGAGGGGATGAGGAAGAGGTGGAGATGACGTATAAAGAAGATGGTTGAATTTCCTTTTTAAATGTGTCGTATATAATGAGATGGAGTGAGAAGGGAAAGGCTCATTCCTATTGTCTGTGGCGTATGCCATTCCCCCCTAGGTATCAAAATCAGACACTTATCCATGGGGCCATTTGTGATAGGAAAATCGGCCATTCGTTCAATTTTAATCATCCCCCACCATCACCTAATTTCTATCCCCCCTCCCCTCACCCCTCACACCATTCCTCACTTGGCTTCCGCTACGGAAGAGGATGTTTGGGTGCCAGGAAGGCCTGACCGAAGGATGCGGTTGGAGGGGAAAAGGGGCCGATCGGTACCTCGAACGACAAATTCGGTTCGGACAGGCAACTTGTCCGTCACCTGCTTCAATGCATCCCGCGCCACCTGGTCATGGAGGTCGGGACCGCCAATCTCAAAGAGAATTCGGTTCTGGGGAACTCGGACAGCCCAGTGATCAAAAGCTCCCTTGCCCTTACCCATACGCGTTTCATTACCTTTACTGGTAATGGGAGTGGCAGGGAAAACTCGGGTCCAGATTTGCGCCCCCTTCACCGCCTTGAGCTTCCGCTTCAGCGTGGTTTGTGCTGCATGCAGAGTTGCCGCCTTGAGCCGAGAGCCCTGAAGGACGCGAAGACCAAACGTGCCGAACTGCAGGGAGGTTCCAGCTGTCGAGCCTCCAAGCGGAACAGGAATTCGTCCCTTCTGACTCTTTCTCGACCGGAATCTCCGGGGGCCATTGAGTAGGGTCAAGCTTCGGGTCTGTTGCTTGACCGCCGAGGAAGCAAAAGGAGAGGGGAAAAGGGTGGATAGTCGAGAGAGGAGGGACATACCTATGATAGGAGGGACGGGAGCAACAAGGAAGGAACGTCCTACCATTAGGTGCTCCAAGCTTTTTCGAGGGCTCTTGGGCTAGACAAGTCAGAAAAGGGGGGCACTACAGAGCGATGCCCTTTCTCCCTGGCCAAATAGAAGGATAAATAGTGGCAACAATGGATACACTCGCCCCGCGCATCCTTCGCTTCGGAACCATCATTTACACACTCACAAAAGGAAAATATATCCGGAAAGCCAGATTCGAACTAGCGACCTATGGATGACAGCAAATTCTTACAGTCCACCGCTCTACCAACTGAGCTATTTCCGGCAATAAAAATAATTTTTGATAGATTAATTTAATAGATCTCAAAATATATGGGTTAAATAATTGTATTTGATTTTTATGATTGGAGTGATGATTTTATGGCATAATCATGATCGATGATACACTGAGGAGTTGGCTCCAAATTATGGCCTTTCCTCCCCTTGCCTGCCCAAAGGGCTCCTATTTTCAATATCTTTTTCTAAAGGACTATGTGATTCCTGATCGCGTCGTGTTGGTTCTATAGGGACTTTAGACCTACCACATGAATTCTCGACTAAACAGACACTAGGTTCGCAGCTATACTTGTTCTGCTTTTAGAGAGAGAAAAAGAGGCATTTTCTATTGCACTGAATGTTTTTAGACATACAGTTTATTCTATGTGAATTATTGTAATATCAACACAGGAAACAATACGCAATATAATACATATACCAAGTGGTACTGGAATCATATCTCTCAGTTATATCAGGCTGATAAGGTAGATGAGGTAAATGGAGGACGTAAAGGCGGGGAACGAGCCCCATCTGTTCGTTTCATCGGTTGGAAGTTCATGAAGAGTGAAATTTTTCACATAAAAAAGAGAATATTTTTCAAGCAAAGATTATCTTAATACAGGAAAGAACATCATAACCATGAAGGCGCGGTTTTTATGACGATGTGGAGTGGGATGTAGACATAGACATGTCAATCTAGCTGAGTAGGTAAGAGAGGACTGGCGGGGGAGTAGCCAGGCCAGGAAGCCCAACCGCAAGACATCAAGCTCAAGAAACAGCAACAGATAAAGGGCACAAAACGTGGTTCCTCCTTCCCTTGGGAAGCTCGGC